GCCCAGGCGGGTCTCGAACCCGCAGGCTCAGGCAATCCGCTCACCTCAGCCTCCCAAAGGCGCGGGCTTACAGGCTGAGCCACCGAGCCCAGCTACCTGGCTAATTTTTAAAATTTTATTTTTTATAGAGACAAGGTCTCCCCATGTTGCCCAGGCTAGTCTTGCCCTCCTGGGCTCAAGCGAGCCTCCTGCCTTGGCCTCCCAAAGTGCTGAGATTACAGGCATGGCCACTGCACCTGGCCTAAGTTAAATTTTTTTAGCTTGAGATAACTGTAGATTCACATGCAGTTGTAACAAATAATACAGATTGGCTGGGTGAGGTGGCTCAAGCCTATCATCCTAGCACTTTGGGAGGCCAAGGTGAGAGGACTGCCTGAGCCCGCAGGTTCAAGACCAGCCCAGGCAACGTGGCGAGACCTCATCTCTGCAATAAATCAAAAAATTAGCCGGGCATGGTGGCTCGCACCTATAGTTCCAGCTACTTGGAAGGCTGAGGCGGAGGGATCTCCGGAGCCCAGCAGGTCGACACTGGGGTGGCTGTGACCGTGCCCCTGCGCCCCAGCCTGGATGGCAGAGAGAGACTCCAACTCCAAACAGAAAAGAAAGAATACAGATAGATTCTGTGTAGGCTTCACTCAGTTCACCCCAATGGCGGCATCTTGCAGAGCTGTAATGCAAGAGCACAACCAGGACGGCGACACTGGCACGATCAGGACACAGAGCACATCCAGCACCATAAGGAAGCGCCCTTTTATAGACACTCTCACGCCCTCCCTCCCAGCTCTCTTCCCCTCAACCCCTGGCAATCGCTAATCTGTTCTCCATTTTCATGATGTGTCGTTTCAAGAATGTTCTATCAATGGATTAGCACAGCATACTGCCTTTTGAGATGGGGTTTTCTTCACCAGCATAATTCTCTGGAGATTCATCCAGGTTGTTGTGTATACTGTAATTCATTCGTTTTTACTGCTGAAAAGTATTTCATGCTATGGGTATAAACTCACCAGTGGAGGGAGATCTAGCTGATTTCCAACTGTTGGGTATTATGAATAAAGCTATTATAAACATGTGTGTACAGATCTTTTTATGAACATAGGAATTGCTCTGGGATAAATACCTCGGAGTGCAATTGCTGGCTGTTGCATGTTTCAGCTTGTTTTTATTGGTGGTGGTGGTAGAGGGTCTCAATCTGACAGGCTGGAGTGCAGTGGTGCGATCAGAGCTCACTGTACATTTGAACTCGAGGCTCACGAGACACTCCTCTTCAGCCTCTTGAGTACTTGGGACTACAGGCAGGTACCACCACCACACCAGCATAAGTTTTAAAAGTTCTTGTAGAGATGGGGGGCGTCTCCCCATGCTCCTCAGGCTAGTCTCAAATTCCAGTCTCAAGTGATACTCCTCCCATGGCCTCCCAAAGCCTCGGATTACAGGTGTAAACCACCAAGCCTCGCTGCATGTTTTATTCTTTTTTTTTTTTTTTTTTTTT